TCCCTGGTGTTGTATGTTCTTTTTGCCGTTTTTCCATTTCCATTCTCGTTGTGCACTCTGTTCCATTTTCCCTCAAATTCCCTTTTGCGCTCTCACCCTTTCCTTTTTCGAGTCTTGGATTATTTGGCCCTTCAGGAACGGTTTACGGTACGCATAGCAGGTCAGGTCAGATGCATATAGTCGATTCCACAAATCCAACGGCTTTGCAACTGTGGTCCGAATAAAGTTTTCCGACAGAGCCTCAATGCTGTTTCACTGCTGCCGTCACAGTGTTCAGCTGCATCGCTCGACTATTTTGGTGTTACTGTTGGTGATAGGGAGTCGTGTTGCTGAGAGGAGAACCTATGTTCAGTGTGTCGAGGAAAGACGATCACGCACAGACCATGGCCTTGTTTTCTTTGTCGCAATGGTTCCAGGTTACCCCTTCATGATAATCTAGATTCCTCTTGACTAGTCTTCGCAGTCCGCCATTTCGCTCTCGTCTTGATCCCGTTTTGATGGGGAGAAATGATTTCCCTCCTCCGATTGAACAACCGCGCTGATGGGTCAATTAACGATGTGATTGCTGACAGTTTCAAACAATTTAAACACAAAACTGGGTAGTAAAACGCCGCGTAAACGCCAAGTATTCCCGGAGACAATGTCATACATTAATAGGGATCGTTGGAGTTGTTGCCGCCGATTCCTGTCCAACATCACCCGCCATAACGCGAGAACATGCTCTCTTGATCAGGTACTCATAACACCATCCCCTTCCGAATTCATGGGCCTTCATCGCCTTCTCACAGGAAGTAATCGCCTAGGCCCCTACGTCCTGCGGGGATATGCCGTTGGTCGTCTGGAACGGCGGAGAAGATGCTGAACTTCGTGTTTTGGTCGCGATCCACCGTCATAATCGAGGCTACGTTACCGCAACGGTAACAGTAGTTGGGTGCTGACCATACTGTTACGACCGACTTTTCGGCGAAATGGAACTATCAGGCAAACCCGGGTTAGCTGGACTTGATCCTCAAAAATGGCAAGCAACAAAAACGTCACAAACCTTGTAACCCTCATTAACCAGCTGATGCGCTCTTGCAATCGTTGTCAAACCGTTGACATGGTTGAACTCCGTCGCGACCTTGTCTCCGAACAGCCAACCAGCACCACGTGGACTGACAGCCCATGTGTCGACGTCTTCTGGGTCACTCCACACAAGATCGCAGAAGGCACCCTCATGAGGAATCTCCTGGGCACGCGCAACGACGCGGATCTGGTCAATCGTGCGGATCTCAGGACTGAGACCGCCATGGACGCAAAGAACGGTACCGTCCACAATGGCGGCGAGAACAAGGAAGTCAAACACTTGACAGCAAGCCTTCCAGACGGAGGCGTTGCCGTACTTTTGCTGACACTCCTCGTAGAAACCGTAGACCTGGGTGATTTGTCGGGACTCGTGGTTTCCGCGCACTAGAACGATGCGATCTGGGTACCTGTTGGGGCGAAAGCGTTAGCAGCATGAATCGAGCCAAAACAAAAGTTGGGGATCTCCGTACTTTGCCTTTAGACACATGAGCAGGGTGAATGTCTCTAAACTGAAGTACCCTCTATCCACAAAGTCTCCGAGGAAGACGAAGCGGGTGTCGGCCGATTGAGAGCTCGTGTTGGCACTGGATGTTGGGGTGTCCTCGCCCGCGTCCTTATCGCTCGTAGTCCCACCCTCGGTGTCCGTACTGCTCTTTATCTTCTTCTTCAAGTCTGGATCTGTGATTTCTGTCGGGGGCTCGATGTCCTCGGATGTGATGACGGTTGTTGCTGTCTTGGGCGCCTGGACGTTTGTCTCGCCGGGCATGCCACCGGCAACACGGAAGAGTTCGAGGAGATCGTAGAACTGGCCGTGAATATCACCGCAGATGGTAACTGGCGTAACAACAGGCTGGATGTTCGATTCTGAATGACGTGGGGACACAAGTCAGCTGGACAAGTTCCCTTGTCGTGTGTGCGCCTTGAACACGGGATGTATGTGTGCGTGCGCGTGTTCCTGACTAGTAGCTGGTGCTCAAGTACCTTCCATAAGAACTTCCTTGACAATTTCGCAGAGCTGCTTCATGACAGGCTCAGGAAGGTAATGACATTGTTTCGCCTCCTCCAACCACTCATCTAAACCCGCTCCGGGGCGAAGGTTAGCCGGGCCCGGCTTGGGAATGGTGGACATGGTAAATGTTTCGTTGTATCTGATCGGATTCGAGTTCGTTGATATACCGTCCGCAGGGACGAGGGGTTGGGTTGGCCGGCGACGAGAAGCGGGCGAGTGTCAATCGAAGGGATGTTTGTGTAAGCTCCGATGCGCAATCGATAAAGTCGCAAGACGAACCGCGGTTCGCAAGATGTCGTGGTCGAGGCGGGCCTGCTGGCAAACACAAGGGTCCAGGCTATAAAGTTGCTGTCGGGTATGTTGGGTGTTGTTGGTTGTTGGGACGAAAGTGTTTTGGGGATGACGATGAGTGCCGAGCGCGGGTTCTGGATGGTTGACGTTAATGGGGCTGAAATGGAATCGACCTCGACCCTCGAGCCGTGACCAGGGAAACTGGGACTGGGCCAACTGCGGTTCGCGGACAGTGGGTGAGTGCCCTGAATGGATTGCGCTGCAGGTCAAATTACGCGCGCACATTGGCGCCGAGAGCTGCCCCCTCGGCCACTGTGGGTCTGTGCTTCTCCCTTTAAAGTTCTGGAACCCCGGAATGCGGGGCACCTGGGATGTGGATTTCTTATCAAATCCGATAAGGCTGCGCGGTACCTTAAAGACCAAGCTCCACTCTTCCACTTCAATTCGCGGCAATCGCATCATTCCTCTTTGTTACCCAATCCATCCAACACCGCCAGCCCCAGCCGCGCCCTCTCACCAAACTCAACTTCACGACAGCTCGTGTTCCGTCTACCACCCACCATCCCGTATCCCAACACAAGTTCGAGCCAGCCTTGAACCAGCAACTGCTACACGTGCGCGACACATATTCCCTCCGACCGACACTTTTAGTAGCTGTCGATACACGAACCATTATTCCACCAACACCTTGACCGAAGCATGAGGCTGTGATTTTCTACATCAGCACCTCTCCTCGTCGCAACCAACATCTATCTTGACATTTATTTTCGAGGCGCACAGGTCCTCGGAAAGCAATCATGATGGCGGCACCCCAGCTGCTTTTGCGCAAGCCTAATGGCACCGCTGCCGGCCAGACAACCAATGACGCCCAGAACACACCCAAGACCAAGCCTCAGCCCGAGGGCGAAAAGGTTGTTGTCCGCAGACTCCCTCCACTACTAACCGAAGAAGAATTCTTCAAGATCCTCGGCGATGAATGGAAGATGGGCCATGGAAAGGTCGACTGGTTTTCATACTGGCCTGGCAAGAGCTCCCAGCAGTGAGTATAGATGATAACCTTTCACCAAACAGCTGCCCGTACTCACATCATGATTTATCACAGTCCCTCAAGGCCATCTCGACCCACCCGTGCCTACTTTCACGTTATCAAGAAAGATGATCTTATATCGCTCTCACAAGCCGTACAGAATGGCGTGTGGGAGGACGCCAAGGAATCATACAACGACCCGGTCCTGATCCTGCCCCCTACGGTCGAGCTGTCGATCCACAAGAAGATTCCGAGCGACAAGAAACGGCTGGATAACCGGCAAGGCACCATTGATCAAGAGCCCGAATTCATGGCCTTTCTGGAGAGCCTCGCCAACCCCGATGCCCACAAGAACACAGATTCTGCCGGCGAAGCGAATGCTGAGGAACCAACAGGCAAGCCGGAAAAGGTCACCACCACACCGCTTGTCGAATATCTCAAGGAGAAGAAAGCACAGAGAGCCAAGGAGGCTGCACTTGCTAGGAGCGCCAAGCAACATGCCCGACAGGAATCCCAGGGAGGAAAGACAAAGACTGCCACCGCGACTATTACTCTGGAGGAGTTGAAGAAGCGCGCCAGAGAAGCCAAGGGGGAGAGGACGGATAAGATTTCGGAGAAACTGAGGGATAATGTCAAGATTTTGACGAAAAGGGGCGCATCAAGTGCCGCAGCGGATGCCGCCAAGGCCGCCAATACGATTGCCAGCCAGATCCAAGAGAACGCGCGGTCTAGCTCAAAGGCTGACACCCAGACCAAGGCCGCGCAGAGCTCATCGCAGTCCGCCACTCAGTCGACTCCTTCAGGTGACGCAACAACAGAGATTCCCAAGAGCCGACGGGCAGGTATTGCCGCAGCGGCACGCATCTTACAACGTGACTTAGGTCTCAGCCCTGGCAACGCTCATAGAAAGGCACGTCAGGAGGCAGCAAAGGCCGAAGCTGATGCAAAGGCCAGCGCTGCTGCTACCGCCAGTGCCAACGCCAGTGCTGCCAGGGAAACTGCATCCAGAGAGAAGAAGGAGAGGGAAGCAGCCCCTGCGCCGTCGAGCGCTGAACGTTCCTTGACACCAGCCAATGCTGTCGATTCTTCGGCTGCTGCATTGCGTTCGGCTTCTGCTAGGGGACGAGAGTCAGCCTCCGGAAGAACGCGCGGAAGAAGAGGACGAGGCGGAACAACAGAGGAGGCAAAGTCGAAGGGAACAGATGGCGCCAAGGAGGCAAAACCTGCCGAAGTCGCGGCATCACAACCACCGGTCAAGCCCACAATGATCCTCAAGAAGAGGGATTCTACCCAGGCGGCTCCGCCATCCGCACCCTCAGCACCTTCGACGCCTGTAGTCGCCCAACCGCTGGCATCATCAGCCTCGCAAAAGCCCACCACACCCAAGCAGCCAGCCGCCGAAGGCAGGCAAAGGGGCCGTGGTCGCGGAGGCGAGACTAAAGAGAACGCTCAACCTAACGCCGCCAACACCCCATCTACTCCTGCTGGCCCCACCGGTCCTACTCAAGCATTCTCAAGCACGCTCACCAAACACAGGGCGTCACCGATTCAGCACTACGCGAGGCCATGCAAGCTTTTGGCGCCATCAACTCGATCGATATTCGGAAGAAGGGCCTAGCCTACGTCGAATTTGCAGACCCCCAGGCGTTGAAGAGGGCCATAGCCGCGAGTCCTCTGACGATTGCGCGGGCGAGCGTCACGATTCTAGAGAGGAAATCGGAGGATAAGAAGGAAGGTGGCGGTAGGGACAAGGAAAAGGAGATTGCTGCTCCCGAAACTGCGGCGGCAAGTGCGCCAGTGGAGAAGGAGAAGGCGGTGCCAGAGAAGGAAAAGGAGAAGGAGAAGGCACCAGAAAAGGATCCTGCGAGAGAAAAGCGCGATGAGGAAAGAAGAGGGGGGAGAGGAAGAGGAAGAGGTAGAGGACGCGACGGCGGCAGCGGTGACAAGGACAAGGAGAAGGCCGAGAAGGGTGAATCCAGGGGAGGCGCAAAGGGCGATGTTCCAAAGGAAACCGCCCCTCAGGGGGGAGGTGGTTCCGATCGCCCTGTTAGCACACCCAAGGCCGAGAGAGGTAGCGCCGGCTCGGCCGCCGCTACCCGACCAACCTCGGCCCAGGACAAGGGTGAGAAGGACAATAAAGAGAATGAAAAGGGTGAGAAGGGCGAAGGAGACAAGAATCGTCGTGGTAGAAGACGCGGTGGTAGGGGCCGCGGTGGTGGTGGCGATAAGGACAAGGAGAAGGATAAAGAGGGCGGCGGCGGCGGTGGCAGGGGTGAGAGGAAGACCGAGGGTAGTGGTGGTATTTCTGCCCAGGCGGCTCCGGCTTCGTAAACAAGTTAAGAAGGAGGAAGAGGTCAAGGAGCACAGTATCGAAGGGAAAATGATGAGGAAGAAGAGAGAGCATGATCAGTTGAGAGATGAGAGACGATAGAACTTTAATGAATGACAGCGAATGAATGGCTAATTTTCTCCTGTGGTTGACCAGCTGCCCTTCAGTGGCGAAGATGTCTGGGAAAGAACCTTGTGCGCTGGGCTCTGTTTCTGAGGGGTAGTTGAACATACCCTTTACCGCAGCGCAATCGGGGTTCAAAAAAGAGCTTCAGGCGGCAAAACATAACAGAAAAGGCAAGAAACCGATGGCTTTTGGATGTTTTGTCCAAAGATGGAGATCAGTACCTACTAACCTAGATATGCACATCACAAAGCTGGATGCTTGCCACTCTGTCATCGAGGTCGCTGTCTCCAATCTCATCCAATGCAAAAAGGGTCGGGACTTTGTGACACTACAAAGTATGCTATTATCATCTTGCTTATCTATACCCCATCGATTGACCTCAAATAGGTGCCGGTGTCAGTTTGACCCCTTAATCTATATTTATATTCCCACGCGCATGCGTAAAAAGCTACATCTTGACAAAGTGCATCGTGTACAATTGACAACCTAAATGTATTCGATTCTGCCCGATCTTGTCTAACAGCTCCCTCCTGACGGCGTTCCGTTCGATGTGCTACTTGTGAATCATCTCAGTCAGGAATGAATCGCCTCGACGAGGAGGAAAAGAGGTCCTTTTTTTAAGAGAGACTAGCCTAGGGCCCTAGGGTTTAGAAGGAGGTAAAAGACAAAAGAGTCTCTTTTCCTGATTGCCGCTGTTCTGTTGTTATTGTTCACGATTTGTGGTAAATGGGTGACTAGACTGAAGTAATCCGTCCAGTCCGGCGTCCGGCGTCGTCGGCTCCCTCCCGGTCCCTTCTGAGAGCATTGAGAACAAGGAGCCTTTGGAGTCCGGACCTGCTGCACCGACATCGACACCGTCGATTCGATGGATCTAGAAGACTTGGCTGGGCTGCCTTCAATGGCGCCGAGCGTGCTCGCAGCCTCATTCCTTCCATCCTCATGACCGGGGATCTATCTAATCAAGGTGGGCTTCCACGGCCGGCATGCAGCGCGTGTTCTCGCTTCCAAGTTTTAACTGAAGCTTTCGCTGGCGTAGCTCCGTTGATCCCTCAACGATGTCCCATGCAACTGGCTGGTCCGGTGGTGACCTCGAGTCGTTGTGTTTTTCTTCAGATCCTTGATGATGTAGCCACGATTCGAGAAGATTTACAGATTCACGTAGAATGGTTGTTTCTTCCTGGGTTTGAGCAGCTAGTTGTGGTTGATGGCCTCTGGAACTTTTGTTAGTTTCTTTGTCCTGCTGATGGAGCGGACAGTCATGGTTAACCCACACGAAAGAATGGCCCGTGGACCGCATCTCCGGTTTTCACCTACCAGGCAAGCTCCTTCGCCGGTAGAATGGCTGGGGTTTAGGTTGTAGATGGGAGTGATTGGAGGGAATCGGCCAGGTATGTCGAGGCAACTGGTGGTACGGTTTAGATTGAGGTTGAGGTTGGTGATCTTGCACCTTTTTTTTCCCCTCTTGTCTCTCCCTTCTCCTTCGTGTTCGTCTTTTTCTTGCTGTGGTGCCTCTTCCTTCCACGTCCTTGCAGTTCTTCGAACACACTCCAAGCTTCGTCCTAGGGAAGCTCGCGGTTGTTCACTCGAAGCCATGCTAACGTAAGGGATGGTGATGGGCGGCAACGTGGTAATTGCTATGCCGGTTGTTATGGTGGTCATGTTGGTCGAGTACACGCTGATCGAGGATAAGCGTTTGATGATCGAACTAGACCTGGTATCAGGGTTTCGGGCCGTTTTGTTCCTGGGTATAGACGCTCCATCTGATAGTAGAAGTAGGAATTGGATGGTGACAAGCAAAACCAGGTATCGTGGAGACATTTTGATGCAAAGGTAAGGTAGTTCAATCCGTCCTTAAGAAAGTTGGAGTTAGGGACAAAAGAGGCTTGATTGGAAGAGCTGGCGTGGGGGGAGAAAGAAGAGCCGTGTCGAGATGTGTAACCGTCGTCTCAACGCTATAGCTGAGTTGGCGGGAAGTAAAATTGATTGAATGATGGGATGGTTGACGACCGGGAAAAGCTTGGTTCCCAGGGACCAACTGGTATTAAATACCCAAGGAGTGGAAGATCTGTAGTTGTGTGCATTTCCCTGGCAGCTTTCCACCTGCACCATAAGGACAGCTTGGCCGGAAGCAATGGTGATTACCTGAATCTCTTATGCCGTCTTTCGCATGAACCGTTTTCCTGCCCAAAAAATATCCACCAAACCACGACAAGCAGAATTGGGCGATATTCTACTCTCCGAGCGGCGAAGGCAAGTGCATCTCCATGTCTTGGGGTGAAGGACCGGCGGGTGATAGCGGAGACGGACATCCAACGCTATAAACATGTTCCTACACTCTGTTCAGCTCTTGGTTCCTAGGAGATCCCATGTATATGTCAACACCCACCATTTGGTTTTTCATCCAACCCTTGCTCTCAATATCTTCATCATCCCACCGCTGTGGCAAAGCGTCCAACTCATAAACGTCGTTCTCAGCCGCCAGCTCTGCTCTATCCTCACGAACCCAACCCCCCTCCCCCTTTCCCCCCGTAGGAGCCATCGTGGGATCGGTATCAGCAAGCTTCATCATTCTGATCGTCTTGCTCTTCTGTGTTCTCAAACGAACAAGGCAGAGACGTAGAATGATAGAAGAGAAATCATCCCTCAAGATCGAGGAGCCGTCCCAGCTCGCGGACGGCATCGGTACGATTAAGCCATTGGAGTTAGAACAGCCCGAACACAGGACTAGAGAACTGGAACAGCCAGACCAAAACGTGGAACTAGCCGAGAGAGGAATTTAGGAAGAGAGGGTCGAACTGCAAACCAAAGCAAACACGGTTGAACTGGATACTTTACCGGAGCAGTGGGACATGGAGGAGAAAGCTGATGATTCAACCAATGTAGGGAACCGACAGGAGGGAGCCAACGGTATGCACAATGGCCTCCCTACTAGCCCACTAAAAGAGACACAATAGTCTAACCAAGGAATCAAGATGTACAGGGGTCACAATACGCGCGTAAAATGAAGGGACTCCTGGGCTGTGCGTCGCTGATTACCCTCGAAGCGTTCCTGACACGGCCGGTGATAGTATCGGTCAAGATCCTGTTGCTGCTTCTCGTGTGCCAATTGCTGGGCACAGCGGAGGGTACCGTTTCTCTGCTCGAAAAGACAACATGAATTGTCACTCCTGGCGACGGTACTAGGGTTCCCCTACTCCACGACACGGAGTGGTCGTTTGAATACAGCACACCCGAGGAACGACTACAAGCTAATCGGGCCACTGTTTACATCAAGTACCGGGGTCTATCCTCGTTGGACAGTCAAGCTTCCTGTGAAGAACCATTACAATTTCAAGAGGATTCTGTTTGTGCAATGGTAACCACTATAGGACCAGGGGAGGCTTTCAGGCTAGGGAGGTACTCGAATCAATAGCTCTGGGGCCAGTACAGACTCAATTTCGTGTGGATAAAGAATGATGAGCAAGGTTATAGAGAAATCCGGGGAATCACTGAGCTCGTGCTGGAGCCGTCAAGAGTGGCAACACAAGCAACCAGTCTAGGGGAAAGTTTATCAACGGTGAGTTTCCTTGAACTACGGGAACTATCCTGCAAAACTGATGTACCTTGTACTTACCGAAACCTTCCTAAGGCAATCAAAACCCGACCAATCAAGCAGCTAACTCTTTCGGACCCCCCGTACATATCCTCAACAACAACAACCACTTCCTCACCAATAACAACCTCCTCATCAGGGGCTCAGCGAGATACCCAACAGCCAGAGTCCGGGTTAAACTCCCTCTCCAAGATCGTCATAGGAGCCACCGTAGGCTCCTTCAGCCTGATTTTAATTATCATCCTGACCATATGGCTTCTCCAACGAAGAAGGAAGGGAAAACGGCAAAAGCCCGTCCCTCGAGACACAAGAAGAACCGTCCCAGTCCACAAACGGCACCAACATCCTCAATCTATCAAAACTAGAGCAACCCGACGCCAAGATCACAGAACTGGAACAGCCAAAACACGTAGTAGAGCTATGCGAGGAAGGCCATGACCGGGTCGAGCTACTGGGAATGCACCTCGATGCCGAGCCTCCGAGGTAACACACAAATTCATCTCAAGAAGAACTGGTAAGAGAAACTTCAACCCCAAAAAGAGACAAAGCTAGAAGGCGCCCCCTGACCAAAAACAGGAAGGCTGTCATTGACTAAAATCGAGGGTTTGGGCACCCAACTAACGGCAAGAACGGGCGCGCAGAAGGAAGGCACGCCCCTGTTATGCGGCGCAGGTCACTGCCGGGGAAGCGCTACTGACACGGCCGGTAGCAGCATCTCTCCTGTTTCTCTTTTCGCGTGCCAATGGGTGGTGGGTGTAGCGGAGGGCGCCGTTGTTCTTGTCGAAAAGACGATATGGGTCCGGTCAACTGAAGACAGTGCCACAAGCGACCCAAGCATGCCTCCTCTACTCTGTGACGTGGAGTGGTCCCTTGACTACAAAGGTACCACACGCCTGGAGAAACAACTAGCTAATCTACTCTGGCGGGCAACCGTATTCGTTGAGGATAGGAGACTATCTTCCTGGTCGGCCGAAAACATCTTGTGCGTAGACCACACCGCGAGCGTTCGACAGTGGCCAGGAAATGGAAATGATTTCTGCGCAGTCGTAGCCACTGGTGCAAAGCTAGGGGATGTTTTTCGGCTGGAGCCGCCCGACGAGTATATCTATTGGGGATGCAGGCTCAGGTTTGTCTTGGAAGATCATTATACAGTGGACATGGAAGGTGTGGAGCAACAAAAACCGGTCTGGGGATACGCTGATTTCATCCTACCGGCAAGAGTGGTCATGGAGGAGGACATGGAACGAAAGACTAGTCCACGCATAGGAAGGTTGGAAACGGTGAGTCGCACCAGACTCCCAAGCGCCCACGGCAGTCACCGCGTGATAATCTTGCAAAAGCAGTACCTAATCACGGCGCCCTTGTTTCAGTCTATCACAACGCGATCCGTCGTAATCACAACTCTTGCGCACACGCCATCAACAACTGTGTATTCATCGAGCCACCCTCGGCACGACATAACTCGTCTTGACACTGTTTCCAAAACCGTCATAGGAGCCACCGTGGGATCAGCAAGCCTCCTTCTGATCATCATCATTTTTATCGTCAGGCTTCGTCGTCAACGAAGAAAAAAGAGTGCAACACGAGAGAAAACCCGTAGACAAAATTCATCTCTCGAACAAGCTCATCACCACCAACATCCCTCCTAGTTCTCCACAATGGAGGAGGATCAGACTATAACGGACAGGACCAATCCGGGTCTTCATATTGCAGAGTTAGAACAGCCCCAAAACAACATAATCACTGAACTGGAGAAGCCAGAACAAAGAGTAGAGCTACCTGAAAGATGAATCTGGCAGGAGAGGTCAGAGCTACCAACCGCGGCAAACGCAATTGAGTTGGATGTTTTTCCGCAGCGATGGGAGGAGGAGGAGGAGGATGACTCGACGGGTTGAGGGAGGTAGTAGTCATGATGTCCTCTTAGCTTTAATTATCTCATGTCAATTTAAGCATACTTCCATCCGGTATCCATCTAAACATACTTCCACCTTCCATCCAACCACGTTTCATCCAAGTCAACGACGCCCTCGTGTCGTCCCGTCCCTTGTCTGTCGAAAGGAAGGATGAAAGAACGGCACAAGCAGTGCGGGCCGGACCGTGACAAAGAGGCACAAAGAACAAGTTAACACAAGGGAACCTGCAAGAAGAGAGGTCTAACAAGCTCGGCCAACAAGCTTCATTGACAAGGTTCGCAGCGACAAAGAGGGAGAACTAACAAGCTTCGCCCACAAACAACACCAACAAGGTTCACCGAGGACAAAGCAAAATGAGCTAACGAGCTTCGCCAACAAGCATCATCGGGGACAAAGAGATACGTAGGTGCCAACAAGCTACCAACAAGCTTCACGAACAATCTGCACAAAACAGGTTCCGTCAAAACCTAAAACCATCATGGACAAGCTTATCGCGAACAGGCTTAACGATGAACAAGCTTAACCACGAACAAGCTTGACCAGGGTAAACGTGCGACAAGATACGGTACAGAAAATGCGGTGCGAACCTGTGCTGCGGTACGGACCGTAGCGAAGCCAAGCATCCAAACAATTAAACATCAAAAACATGCATCACGGCCCGCAAAAGAGGCGTCAAAGGCCGGGAAGCTTGAAAGTGCGCGAGAAACTTCATAACCTAAAATTGACTCCTTAACCGCCAGCCGCCCGTCCACCGTAACCTTTTCTAGACTGACTACCTATCTATATAACGTAACCCATCATCGCAAAATACATGAGACGAAAACATAACCATAAACATAACAGTACTTTTTCGTTCTCATCCGCCCATTGCCAGTGACATTAGATCCATGATATCTGCTCCATACATCCATAACATAAACAACACGTGCATCCATCCAATCCAAGTACAAAAGGAAGCAAGCAGAACTGACAAAAAAAAGGGGGGTATAGATGTTTCTTCTAGTACATGATTTTTGGGGCGCGCAAGGGGGTATAATGTGCTTTTATCCAAACGAACTGAACTGGAAAAGGAAAGTGTAAAAGAGGTGAACAAAAGGAAGAGAAGATAAGAGAAACCAAGAAGGCGAGGAGCCGACGAGGTAACGAATGAAGTTTGTCTGGACTTGCAGCCTGTACCGGGTCCGCGCCGATGCCGATGCCGAAGTGGGGACCCCGAAAGTGGAGTCGCCGACCGGAGCGTGGTGTAAGTCGGTCGGAGGTCAGACACCGGGATGTGCATCCCCCATCACCGTGGTCACCGTGGTAAGGTACGATGACACTGACACACAGTGGCCATTGTGGCTTTGACACATGGTGTGATGAGGCTTGTGTTTTGTGTCTTGTGTGTCGGTGACTCGGTGTGTGGTGTGGTGACAGTGACGGTGGTGCTGGAGAAGTGTTTCGGGAAGACAAGAAAAAGGCCTGGTTGGCGTCCACTTCTCACGTGTGAAGAAGCTCGGCAAAGGGAAATTGAAAGAGAAAGGAAAAGGAAAAGGAAGGAGCGAGAAAGAATTCGTTTCGGGTTCCCGTCTTGGCCTCGCTTGGCCTCGGTCGGAACCTGACGTTCCTTCCTTCTCGACGCCCTTCTTCCTTCCTTCCTTCCTTCCCCAGGCTTGTTCCTTCCTTCCCTAGCCCACCCGAACCCGATGGGCCGATTTACCCCTTGGTTAATGCCGAATGGTCTGCCCCTCCGATTCCCGAACGGGAACCAAGGACGCAAGTCGACCGATTGGGGATGGCGGGGTTGGACGGCTGACAGGGGGTTCGGGAAAAGATGCTTTGTCTCTTCCGTTTCTGGCGTCTGTCCGAAACGAAAATGGGAAACCCCAGGAACGAGAGAAGAATCCTTGCCAGGGTGTGCAGGGCGCGATCGTAGGGCCAGTGTGTTCTTGTGTTTTGTTTGGAGGGGAGGATGCCGTTTAAGCCTGGGCCTGAATGGCGGCAATGCTTGAATGGGTGCTACCGCTGGCGCGCGGCAGACTGCTTGCTGCTGTCCTGTCAATCAGGCACAGAGGAGAGGGCGGTGCAGCGGTACTAGCAGACCCCTGGAAGGTCCGCTTGTGTTTGCTTGCTGCCCACGCGCGAGCCTTGCTGACCAGCCAATTTCGAAAGTCCAACGAAAACGAGGTGCCTTGCAGGAGACGACAGCCCAATCTGTCGCTGAGTGCAGATGCAGATCCGAAGACTGCCAATAGGGGAACGGGATTCAGAGGTGTTGTGATGTAATGTTTGGCATGCAATGGTAAAAACGCAGAAAAAAAGGGTCTCAGTTGCAGCGAAGCAATCAAAAGGAGGAGGCAGAAAAAACAGTTATCCAAAGACGGGTGTTGTTACAATGAGCATGGCTTTTGCTGATGGCCGTGGCGATTGATTAAGAAACCTATTGCCTCCGCGGCATCTTTGCGCCGGCGATCGCTTGCTGGTGGTAACGGTAGTCATCGTCGGCGGGATAACGGTTGTCAACGTAGCCAGCGGGCGCCGGGACGTAGACCGCTGGATGATGTGCCGGAGGAGCGGCAGAGCGTGGCTCGCGCATGCTCGCGTACTGTGGTGTTGTATAGGAGGGCGCGTTATACGAGTAATCGTAGGCATCTCTCCCAGAGACAACCTGGGGGCCTGGAACCTGTGGTCTGGGTGCACCACGACCAGAAGATTCAACGTAGCTATCACGCTGGTTGTTCCGCGGCTGGCCCCTGATGGTGACAGGTGGGAGAGATGGGAGAGATTGGTTGCTGCTCTTGGCATCGCTGTCTTCGCCCCGGGTGCGGAAGCGGCTGCGAAGACGCTCCTTCTCCTCATCAATGACCGATCGGTCGTGTGTCAGTGTCATTTGTCGCTCCCTCTCTAGCTGTCGCTCCCACTCATTGTCCATGTCCAACTTCTCATGTTCTCTATGTGGAGCGCGTCGGCTTGAGCTTCGGCGAGGTCTCCTGTCATCCGATGATTCGGATGGCGGGGGCATAGACATACTCTTGCGCCGGGGTCTCTTCATCTTTTCGGAATCGACAGATTCGCTCGAGTCTTTCGGGTCCTTTAGGTCTTTGGGCTTCTTGGCATCTTCGAGCTCCTGCAGCTTCTTGTTTTCATCCTTGAGTTTGGTGTTCTCGCTGGTGAGATCCTTGTTCTTCTGAAGTAGTTCGGTGTTCTTGGATTTGAAGTCGGCGAGTTGATCGGAAAGGACCTCGTTCTCGTTCTGCTTCGCGTCCAGTTGTGCTTGCAGTGTTGCCTCACTCACAATCACTTCCTTATGATCGACCTTGAGTTGGATGTGAGATGCTTGAAGCCGTTCAAGTTGCTGGATTTTGGCCTGCAGGTCTTTGATCTTGTCGTCCGCCTGCGTTAACTCGTTCTTGAGGCGCAGGATCTCGCGAGCGTCCCGCCTGTCGTCATAATCACGAGGTGTGTATGTACGATCACTGTTGGGAACACCGCAGTCGCTACCACTGAGAGAACCGACTCCAGAATCGCTCCTTTGGTGATCCGAGTAGTGGGACGCACCCGAAGGGGAGTCGTCCCGGAATCCAACCTTCTTGTGGGACATGGCTGCTGCGGGCGTCGTAGTAGCCTTGAGTGCGGGTAGGTAGGTAACTGTAGCTGTAGCTGTAGCTGTAGCTAGCTGTAACTGTAGGCGGAAGCGTATGTAATGGTAAGTTGATGATGGAAGGCTGAAGGGTGTTTTGACCAGAAGCAGCAGAGTGCAAAAATGTGTTGTGTGCTGATTTGACGGCGGAGGAGGGACGGTGCTGCAGAGGTGCCCGACTGGTTATATTATAAAGGAAGAGTGGGAGAGGAAAAGGTTGCGGGTAAAAAGGGACAAGAGGCAGGGGAGATGGGAGGCCCGCGCCGAAATTGGGTAACGGGCAAAAGACCAGGGGCCAAGGACAGACTGCGGCCGGTCTGACCAGGATTAGTGTGGCAGGGGGTGCAGAGATGCAAGTAAACTCGGTACTTTGCGCGTAGAAGAGGGTACCTCTGCTCAGTGACGTCCAGGGGCGGGACGGCGGATGACAAGGCTATACCGGCAAGATTAGGAATGCTGATGCTGCCCTGTTCTGTTTGGTTGGGTTGGGCCTCAATGGCACGGCGAAGACCAGTCTGAATCCCGGAATTGGGCGAATAAGCGGAGCTGGAAGCCGAGGGTATAAAGCACCGATGGTATGAAGTCCTGGCGCAGGAATGAGAGAAAAGATGATGCCGGGTTGGAATGGGTGGAAAAGATGTGCGTGTCTCACCGTCGTCACCCGGGAGACCATATCGTTTTTATTTTGTTTTCTCTCGACTGCGGTCCCTCGAGGCGAACGCAAGCCATGGGGCCAGCTGCTGCCTTTTCGACTGCGCAATCCACCAAAGCAAGCCCAAACCCAATAGCCAGAAAACACAACGGAAGGGGGTATGAATCCGCACTACGACCACACCTTGGGATAACAAAAGGTGGAAGCCGGGGCAAGAAGATGGCAAAAGGAAGAGATGGGAAAAGGGTGGTGGCAGTGGGGAACCATACGGAACAGGATGGTCCAGGACTGGGCAGAAGCCAGGACGGGACTCTGAGCAGAGGTGTAGAAGGTACCCAGAACTCGGGGCGGTAGCAGTGGAGTCAACATCCAGGCAGCTCGCGCCGGCTACCGACCACGAGGCTCACCTTGGTGACCAAAAGGGAAACAAGGTCATGTAGGTACTGGCTACTTGCATCCCTGTAATCTCATGGGGATCCATTGATCGGCGGTCCATGTCGGACCTTGAAAAGAACCCAAGCATGGTGAGGCAGGGTCGGGAAACACAGCAAACACACTGCATGTGAAGGTCAATATATCCAGTTGCCCCTATGGGGACAGGAGCATGGGAAACACTGGGCATCAAACAGGAGGCGATTCTCAGCTCACTTCACTCACCTCCAGGGGCAACTGGGCCGTAAGATCACCGCAAGGCTGCGACAGACTAGAGAAGAGGAAGCAAAAGCGGTGATCACGGTAGGTAATATAGGTGAGAAAATCCCACAGCGGCACAGCCACACCCTCCCTGACACGTCCGGCTTCTGGCTTTCACCAAGGCGTCTTTTGGGAAAATGGTCAAAAGTTGGAAGAGGGTTGGTCGTTTGACATGACAGACGCGACGGCCAAGACAGGTTTAACAGGACGACAGCGACCTAAGTGTCGAGTCGGGCATGTCATGCTGGCGACCATCAGGCTTTTCGTTTGCCTGGCTGCATTTGCGGAAATTTGATGCTCGTTGCTTTCTTGTGAGCTTGCTCATCTTGTGGGTTTGCGTGTCCTGCGTGAGTCCTGGATTTTGCTCAGCCATTTCCCTAGCTCCAGAGGCTTGGTTTTGGCCGTTTCAGTGATCTGGCGAACCAGAATACTGGCGAAGGGGGTGCGTATAGGTAGGCGTGCTGAGCAGGACGAGAGTGGGCCTGGGTGGTATCTGGATGGCCATCTGTATGGGCGGATGGATAAGGTAGCTGATGGGGGACCGTCCGTTTGCTGATGGTTTGTGTCGCCATTAATGTGCCCTTGTGGTTCTGTTGGGGATAGTCCAAGAGGCCATTGCCCAATCCAGCCTTCTCTGATTCCGAAGCACCAGTCAGGAAGTGCATGATGAGGCGAGCAACAAAGGGAAGCGCGGCTTTGTGAATATGAAGCTATTCGTCCGGTCGCGCAAACAGACGTCTGACGGGCAGCGGACAAAGCAGGGGAAAGGGGGCACTTTGGTAAGACGTCTCCTGGCTATTTCTGGCCCACGATGCGCGGCTGTTGGATAACGCCGTGACTCACGCATTGAGCACCTTTATTATGCGTGCAGTGATGCGTCCAATGTGAGATGCAGGGCAGACGAGGCGAGCGGGCCAAAACGAGTCCAGGGAGTGCAAAAGGAGCCCTTTCCCTTGTCCGGGCCGAGGAAATCAAACCTTTTTAGTTCTGTCTCTTTGATTGTGTTTGACTGTACGTGTCCTGATGAAATTTTCAAATGCGTCGTCGCCGATTGGAGCCATTGTTGTTATTCTTGTCGGCCCTTGTCTCGTTCGTGTTTGTGAAGCGTCGCACGAGATTATCGCGAGATCTGGGCTTCCTGTTACAGTTTGTCTTTACTGTTTCTATCAAAGGAGTGATTGACAGTCGTTGAGGCTTTCAATCCGCCGCTGGTGGGCGATTTCGGTCGCTCATCTTTTTTTCGTTGACGATGATTTGTGCCTGATAGTGGAATGGGGAAGAGTTCGGGTGTGACGCTGAGATTCTTGGATGGCAAGTGAGAAGAAAAAAGGTTTCCAGGTTGTGCCCGAAGTGTGGGTGACAACGGGCAGGAATGGGTGACTTTTTGGTGGACGCCCCTCCCTTTTGCTCAGTGGAAGCTCAGGAAGGTGCCGTCCGCTTCCCCAAGTGCTCCTCCTCCGCTGAATCCACTCCGAATGACCCCGCGGATCCACACCGTGAACCGCGACGATCAGGAGCTCCACTGCACCCTCCTTCCGCTTTCCATCCTTCGTTTGAAAACTTTCCGGGAAGGAGAAGAGAGAGAAAAAAGTGAAGCCGTCGCGTGTGTCTTTGTGCAACTGCAAATCTCGCGACCTGACCTTTTCAGCCCATACTCGCTTACACCAAATCATTCATCTGGCCCGTGTTACCACACGCAAATGGCATGCTTTTCTCTGATTGTGGCTTTCCTGGCATGCCCAAGTCTGCCGATTCTCGTCACTTTCTCTTCGACGCGGTTGCAAAAGTCGCGACGGACATTCGGAGGCGTACATCAACTTTTTTTTTCTTCCCCTCAAAAGGTGAGGTCGTATCGACTAATCTGGCGCGGGCCAGTCTAGGGGCATCCGAATTCGACCTGTCGCTACTTGGATCACTCAGATTGGCAGAAAGGCGCGCGTCAAAAGGCCAGCTGCCACGGCCCACGGCTGCTACTGCAAAAGAAAAAGAAAAGCGCTGTCACGGGGTTCACTTGATGCAGTCGATGCCCGCTCCCGTCTTCAAGGTTGCCATGCGATGCACTCCCACAGTCTGATGCCCTGCCAATCTGGGGAGAGGGATGCAAGTCATAAGCTCCGTGTTCGTCCTCTCGGTCTCCAGTCAACCAGTCTCCTTCCGGCTAACCTTTTTTACGAGCTGTCGAGGTGAGCGAGGATGCCCGGCTCTCCCCGCAGCCCTATGAAGAAACGAATGGAGAATGGTTTGGTGGAGTTGCGGACGGGAGCCAAGAACGACTCCCAACAAGTCCAAGGTCACGACTCCCAACCAGTCCACTCACCACCACAAGGTCACGACTCCATCGACGGCGACGTGCTCCACCCGGGGAACAAGAAGCACGCAGGCGACGGTGTCCACTTGGAGGGTTCCATCGTCCGCCGTCGACCGTCGTTCCTTCCTCCTCCCACTCCAGTTTTCATCGACGCCGTCGACCGCACCATTGAAAGCGGGGAGTGAGATGCTTTTCCTAACCACCACACCGCGGTCGCTTTTACCGGTTTTACTGGTGAAACGAGGAAAGTCGTCAGTGTCAGGGTGTCAGCATGGGACCGATAGATAGACTGACTTCCATGGCCGCACTGCAATATTGGCGGACGGGGGGTGCAAAGAAACCCTCGAGGCGACCAGGGAAAACGCCGGGAGAGTGCCGAGGAAAAGCCGCCATCTATATAGTCTCCCAGGAGGTATACTAACTATGCGGTATGTACTGCTCCATGTTTGTCAAGTTCCTCATCCATCTGTCGGCCTACTCCCGTCTATCCGCCACTGGCTTCCATATTATTCCACCTAGTTTGAAGCACTCGCGCATTTGCGTCCTTGACTTCTTCATCTACCTGTTTCAAATCTGCAATATGCAATCCACCTCTCACCTCGTGGTCTCTATGAGTTCACACCTTTCCAAGTCTCTTCAGGTCATGCAAATGAAGACGATATGGAAAGGTGTGCAATTCCCGTCGTCTGAGTGGCTTATCAGCTCGACTGGATACTACAATCTGAGGACACGCTGCAGGCTGTAGAGGTACATGACGGGGACATGACCTTTAGCAGATCAGCCATTTACAAAAAAAATGGAAAGACTGACAAAGATGGAGGGGGGGTCTCGTACGGCCGACATCGCACACCCCCTTTTTGGCAACTTTCGATCAAAGTTGGCCATTTGATAGGCCCGCTCGAGTTTCCACCCTCGCCGAAGAGGGTGTGATGGACATTCCCGGAAGCCAAGGTCAGAGGAGAGGTGGAAGAGTTGCGTGAATATCCAGGCTGAATTGCTCATTCAGACACTCTCTCCTGATAAGAAAAATAGCAGACGGAACATCGGCTCACTAAACTCCCGGAAGATGTGACCATCTTTCCAGTCCTCCGGCTTTTCTTGTTGGGCCGGCGATTTCGCACCGGCCTCTACGAATTTCCATTCATCAAGTCTACGACTGCGCAAAGAATGCGCAGTTCAAAAGGTGCGACTCCCTGTTCTCATCACCTGCCTGTTTTCTGTTCTTATCCGTCGGCGGCCACGATGTCCACAAGGTTTCAGAGATACACTACGTCGCCAGCCGGCCGTTTAGATTCGATCCGACACACAAAAAGCAAGCAACAGCCTTGACACGCCTTCGATCAGGATGCTTGCACTTCTCCCTCATGCCCTCTTCCCGTTCTTCACGTAAACATGTTTTCCTTGTTATGCGGCCGACAAATTGCCCAGGCAAAGCTCCATCCGGACAATCAAACCCGATCAAACCCTTCGGTTGGCGACAAGATATGTTCACGCATTAACACGAATAGTCACTTGCCTCCATCGGATGGGGTTGAAGAAGGCGGCAGTTCGCCAAGCCATCTCTGCCTAGCGCCAACAGGGGGGGTCTCCGACCACTTCCAAGAATCGACGATAACTTTAATGATCCTCCAACCTTCATTGTGATCACAAGAGTTTCTGATAACTCTGTTGGCGGCTCCCTCACCTTGAATGTCAGGCTTCCATATCCACCGTGTCACCTCGGTAAGGAAAAGGGTGAGGAGGCTTTGTAAGACTGCCGACGGGAAATATAGCCTTGCCCTGTCTCATCTATGCGCTTAATCAACCCTCGGCTTCTTGCTTCGTTTTAATCCCTTGTTTCCTAAATGGCGATGCATATCTCCGCCCGTCAGATCTCAGATGCACTGACCAGCCTGATGAGAATGCCCATTGTCTGCCTAAGATGCCGAGGCTTTTTCTACGTTCCACTTCTAACAAACTACCATGTCAGTATCCGCTTCTGGAACTATATCGCAGGCAGAAAGCCTAAGTCCGACAGGTGACAGCCTCAGATCGGGTTTGTGATATGGCATGCATAGGAGGCCAGGAATGTGTTTCCCCTCACCTAGGTGAATCGCTCCGGCGGAAGCCTTCCGCAAGCTATACACGCAGTACTAACCATGCAGCCATTCACAACCAAGGCTAACTACACATAGCCATCACGGCCATTCATATGCCGACGTTCGGATAGGTCTAGACTTTGTCGCCACTCTCCCCAGGCTGCCAGACAGGAAATATGCAGGGATTACTTACAGCAACTCACTAGTTGTTGATCAATTCTGACTTACTCCACCAGCGAACGTGGAGGATCGTCAAACATCAAGCGATGGCGTGCCATTCCAGCGGTATCATTTGCTTCTAATGCTCGGACTACACGCACACTAGCCGATGCCTTACATGAGGCAAAAACAAAAGTGAAAAATTCCAACTGCTAGGCTGCACATCAACAACTTCTTGTGATGATCAAAGTTCCGGAGGTTCGGGAGGCTTTCTCCCTTTCTCGCTCACCTTCCTCGTCCTCCTCACCACAACGCCTCGTGCCCCGCACAAAGTACATTCTACATCTAAGACTACAATCCAATCCAAACAGTTCTCCGCCATCCCACATCTTCATCGCCTCTGCACATCTCCTGCAGAAGAACCAAACTCTCGCTGCCCATCTGCCCATCTGAAAAAGCGACAGGTCTCTTGCCTTTGTCTTCGATGCATTTCTCCTGCGTCTAATCTGCATGCGTCTGCGTATGCGTATTCCTCCATTGCAGCCGTCCCCCTTCAACAGCGATCGCTTCGTCAGGATGCATTGTTTCTATTGTAGGTAATTTACGGAGACATGTACCTTCTGTGCAGAATTATGTGCGGCGGGGTGGGGTTGGGTCCGGTTCATGTTGATATATATCAGCGACCAACGAAAGGGTCAAAGGACAAAAAGGCCCATGTGAATCCCAATCGCAAGTAACTGGATCTCCACGGGTACAGGTATCCTTGGACGACTTCAACATTGGACGAATTGGACAATGGATATACGACTTTTTAGGGTATCTACATATCTTTCTCTACCAGGCAACAGCCTCGTCGACCCCTCGTCGACCCCTCCCTCCTCGTTTTGTCCACTGAAAGCACCTCCCTCAAGTGGAAGCTCACCTCAACAGAGGTTCTTGGCGGGGCGTCCCGCATTACTTATCAGTTGTCACTTATCATCAGCAAGTACGACCCTTACGACCCTTTTGTCACCTCCCGTCTAGGTCGTTCCTTCCCTCTCAAATCCAGACCATCCAACCACGGAGATTGAATCGACCAATCTTTCAAAACTTGAAACCGGAGAAATTGAATGCATGTGATTGGTCGCGGCAGCACCAAGGACCCGACAAGTCCAGTCCTTCAAGTATCTCCCGTCACTTCCTTCCTTCGGCATTTCAAGTTGTTGTTGCTCTTTTCTTCCATCTGTGTCTTTTGGTTTCTATATAGAGGTACGTATGCCTTGTACAATTCGCCCAGTCCTCTTTCAATGCCCTCTCGTGGCCTCTTCAGGTTCTGTGTACCTACCTACTACTAGCTTGGTCTCGCATCGTTCAACGAATGCGGTTGTTAGCTAGCTAGGAGCTATCCCGTCTTGTTAATAAGAAAGCTGGTTAAATAATTGAAGATCTCAGTGCAGATTGCAGTAGAGTGGTTGAGGATGAATGAAGTTCCTGAGGACTGAATCTCGTCTGACCTCGTTTGATCGGCCCGTCGATCTGACTTGATTAACGCAGCTTAACTTAACTTTAACTTTACCTCATTACAACACTGAAAGGCCGCTGTGCTAAAGTCATCTATCTGTCATGCCCAACTGGATCGGCCAGCTATCTACCAAGATTTAGAGACTGGTTGTTTGTGCCGTGTTTGGGTGTATGTATGTAACTGAAGCCAGTTGTGCTCCTTTCGGATTCGGGCTCCGGCTGGATCCGGGATTTGGTGATGCACGACATGACAGCACAGCACGACACGACACATGGCTTGAGGAAGAGATATACCGAATTGGGCAATCCGCGTAGGTAGGAGTCACAACTTTGTACCCGCTTGTGCATCGTGGGTACCTAGTAATTGCTTGGTTTGATGTCGGTACATGATGTCGGTACATGATGTCGGTACATAATGAAGAGCTCACGCGGTTTTTTTTGGGAAGAAATGAGTAAGTGGTGAACCGGGGGTGACTATGGACTGCGAAGATGTGAAAGAGACGTTGAACAAAAGTCTATGTTGTCTATTGTATCGGGTGTAATGGTGAAAGATAAGAAAAATACTATGGGTGATTGCAAAACAATCCACCCTGTGGTGCCTCCTGCTCCTCTCCTGCTGTCTACCAAATCCAGGATTTTAAGCAGAGAAACCGAATAAGTACAAGAAAGGGGTATCGTTATCGTGTAGATGTCATGAATTTGAGAAAAGATTTGAAAAATTTGAACCCGAGTGTAATAATACCTGATAACAACCGTCGTAAAAGTTCACCTAAAAAATAAAGAAGAAGAAATGCCAAGTGTACCCATGATGACAATGGTATCGTACACTCCATCGTCAAATCACGAAAAGTCAAACCAAAGAAATTCGGGTGTGTTTGTAAAGGGTATCCGACGGAAGCGTAAGGTAACTCCTCGAACACTCACATCACAGATAAAGAAGACACAAGAACGCGTCTCTCATCCACCCTGCTCACGACCGACCCCAACAGACACTCACTCAATGGCGGAAAACCCTCAACGGCTGCGCCAAATCAATAATCTCACGAAGCTGGTCGTTCTCCGCCCTCAGACTCTCGCTCTGTGTCCTGAACGTCTCGCTCTGGCCCCTGTGAAGATCCAGATTCTCCCGCAACCTCCCGCAACGACGCTCGAGATCGATGTTCTTCCGCTTTTCCGACTCGCACTGTAACCGCCAATTCGCCATCTCCTGCTTGAGCGCATTGATCTGATCAGCCATGTGCCTCATCTTTCCCTCGCTTTCGTGGCGCAGCTCGCGGTTTTCGGCTTTGAGATCGTCCTTGTCTTTCCTGAGCTTGGAGGTCTTCCGTTTGAGATCATGGATGAGGTCGTCCTGGCGGCCCTCAACGTCGGACAGACTGTCGAGTGTTTGTCGGAGGTTAAGGTTCTGAGCCTGGAGTTGGTTGATACGGCCGTCCTTCTCTGCGAGATCGAGGTCCTTTTCCGCAAGCTTGTGGTCTCTTTCGGCAAGCTTGTTGCGGAGGGTCTGGTTCTGACGGTAGGCTTCGTCGTAGGCCTCCCGGAGGACGCGGTCGTGGTCGGTCATTGTGTTGGTGATGTTTTCTGTTGATAGATTGTCCCGGTAGACGTAGATGCGCTCTTCGCTTCGGGTTCGGGGCCGATGGCGAGGGCTGGGGGGACTTCTTGGGTTTGGGTTTCGAGGGCTCCTGTCAACCGCTCGGGTTTCGATGTAGACTCGATGAGCGGGCATAGGGCCGGTGTTGTATGTGGTGATCTTGAGAGGAAGCTAGGTAACTTATAAAAATACTATCAAGGCCGCAGTGGGATGGCGGTGACTAATAGTTGATGGGTAGGGCAGTGATTGGTAGGGCTGAGCTAGGAATATGCAGGTATCTAGCTGCAGGCGTTCGTTGCTTGTTCACCACTAGGAGTTGAGAGAAGTGAAGATGGCCGGAAATGGGGGAACGGAGCAGGTTGGGATAGGTTGGGTGCGGCTTGTTTAAGAATGACGATAGCTAGGCACCATGTTGTGATAGGACACTGGATAGGATGGAGAGGTGTGTGGCACAAAGGTCACCAAACACCACAACACTGAATGACACGTCTGGAACCCGGTTCCGGAGCGAGGCGTCTAGCAATGCCACGGTAGGTTGAATTGAGTTCCATCAGTGTTGACATTGGATGGAAGGGTAAAAGGTCCAGACTAACACCCAGAAAGAGATGGACTTGGATGTAGGGTTCTGCATGGATGTGTCCATGACAAGCAATGACAGGATTACAACCTAGACGCAGCCGCAACTCCAGGGGCAATCACAGATCGGAAAGGCTAGAGGCACTATGATGGCGGCCGCCGACATGATTGGGACAACAACTTTGTTCCCCCTGGCCTTTTGCCCTTGGATGTTGTCCATGCCCCATGGGGAGGGCTGTCCTGATGCACTGGTGCCTGGGGCTTGTTTGCTAGGAAGGTGTACCGGGGAAAAGGTGTGCATGGTAGGGGGGGAGGGATGCCATCTCGAAAAGAATGACACCGGTATGACTAGATCTCGTGTAGTTGAGATAAGGTGTATGAGTGTCTCAGGTCAAGGTCAGCAAAGACCAACCCAACGGTTATTCCTCTTCCACTTGGACGGTGAATGACCTCGTAGCGGTCAAGACGGACAGCGTAAGAAGGGGTGTACCTCCAAAAATTGCAAGACAAGAGTACAAAAAATGAGGACGACGACAAGAGTGTGGTGATGAGACAGCCAGAGACGGACGATATCGGAGACAGCCCAACGCGATGGGCCACAAAATGGCAAATGACGTAGCTTCGACTCGGTGAGGTGCCCCTCCAAATGGCCAGCCAAGGTGAGAGGCCGACGATGCTTACGGTATCGCATCGCAATGTGGCATTGTCGCTTAATTAGAGCAACCGAGAGGTCTGGACTTGCAATGGAGAATGCAATGGAGAAGGCGCGCTTGTTGTCGTTGCCTGGAATTCCTGAAGGTGATGTGAAGTTGCAATCAAAGGAAAAGAATAAACGCGGCAGTCACGTTCGGGACACCGACTGGCTCATCAGTCGCTGTGCGTCAACGGCTAGCGGGGATGGCAGGTGGGTGGTACACATGCCACGGGGCCCCTCATCCACTGAGGGAACACCCCCTCGACCACTGTGGCTGTGTGGCTTAGGTGCCCCCCCCTTATTGTGCCTCACTGCCCCGGAGTCCTCCTTCTGCCATCCATGACAACGACGTGGACCTTCCACGTCACACCTTCCTCAACCTCTTCTCCTCCAACACCGGGCTTTTGTAATTTTTCTTTCAGCCAACGAAAGATGTTTTTTTGTTTGCCTACGGACTAATAAACAAACGCTCATCATTCAATATGCGAAAGGCTGTCAGTGTCTACACAAAGTTCCCTGCCGCTTGTCATTTGGAATGGAAGTCGTCGACGAGTTTGGCGATTGTCCATGTAGTCACAACCCCCGCAACAGGCACAGGCTGTCATTCGGATACAAGTACACCACCACCACCACATGGCTCATAACCATGACTTCACCAGCCTCTCAGCCTCGCTTCGATAGTCATACGGCAACCCTTTCCCGAAATCCTTTGGCGGGTCGCTCGTCACGTTCCTGCATACCCCCTCGAAATTGGGCTTGGACATTCCAAAGAGTGTCGAGGTTATGCAATCCCCAAAGTCCAGATCTCCAGCCTTTCTTTGCGGCTGAAAACTCCGATCCAAAGACGGCAAGGCTCTATGGCTCAGCAAATCCGTCCGTCCTTGTCGTTGGACTGATGGTCCTCTGCGACCGTGGCATGAGTCGTGCCTCGTTGCCACAGCAAGAGCCTCTGTCCGTGCCGCTTCTCCCAGCTGGTCAACAGCCAGATGTGGTGGTATCAAGAGGCCGCCATATCCTCTTTTCTATCATCAGAGTACCCTTTACTAGCATACATCTGCCCGGGCATAACTCATCGCTAATTCATCTTCACAGTTACACACCACTGGTCCTTGGTTGGCCCAGAGATCGATGGGTCTGATCAATCAAAATACAACTGTAACACGAATCAACCTTTGTTATACAGTCACACAATCCGAAATCCGAACTGCGCCGGCTTCATCGGTGATTAGCCATTAACCTAGGCCTATCAAACATTCCCGATCTTCTACACGCAAGCCGTCCATCGTGATAACCGAGAAGCCTAGGACATTATCAAGTTATGCCTGCACCACAATCCGACTCCGAATCAGCCTTCGAATCAGCCTTATCCCCCAAGTGTTGTTCTAGAAGCCTAGTTTGCTTGGTAAGCACAATCAATATCATGGACGAATAGAAGAGAGGACCGCAAACATCAGGGGTTCTAGGCTCTCCGGTCTTTACGTACCACTACAGACTGGAACGCCATGCATCACCGTTGCGCACCGAGTGCGAGGGCTTACCAGGCTATGTTCGATGATCTGTCATCGGCCCATACGCTCATCATCTTCGACCCAAGGAGCTCATGTTGCTGCTACCTTTACTAGTGTGCGGATGCGGTCGAGTGGTTTGGGCAGTGGATATCATCAGCGCCTCTGATCAAGTTCCTTGTGGTTGTTCGCTGGTAACTATCGGCGCTTGCATCCTACGCCTGCAGGGTTTCATCCATCACCAGTGGCTCACGCCACTTTTTTCGTTTGTGTTCTTTCCTTTCTCTTGACCATGTCGGGAGTTATCCAAGAGGTGCAGTTTGCCTAATATGGATGGGAGCGGATCGGTACACAGGCTTCTGCGTTAGGCAGACATCGCGCCGGGAATGGAGACCCGTCGGGGACCAGGAGTGGAGGGTACCCGGCAGAGAATGACCGCTGAACACCTACACGCCCCAACTATCTTCAGTCAACCTGTCAGACGCTTCTGCTCGTCTACTTACTGTCACCTGTGCCGTCCTCACAATTCCTGTCTCTGAGATTGCCATCACCCCCCGAGGCGTGTGCCACCAATCCTCCCGCTCGTTCATTGCGTTGTTACGCTTTCCAGTTGCATCTTCTAATTCTTCCACCTAATCATGTTGAATGTGTAGGCTCCTGTCTTTTATTTGGGCAAAGACCATCGCTCCATTTCTATCGACGGACTTAGCAGACTGCTTAAGGCCAGGATTGCTCTGACTCAGGTTCCTGAGTATTGTTTTCGGAGAGCTTTACAACAACACAGTTAGGGCGTGTGGCTCAGTTGGTAGAGCGTTCGCTTAGCATGTTTCCGAGCATGCGAAAGGTCCTGGGTTCGATTCCCAGCTCGTCCACTTCTCATCTCCATTTCTCCTTAGGGCGTGTGGCTCAGTTGGTAGAGCGTTCGCTTAGCATACTCATCTGTATGCGAAAGGTCCTTGGGTTCGATTCCCAGCTCGTCCAATATGACTAATGAGATGATTTTTTTGCCCTTTTTCATCCTACTTCTCCTTCTTTTAACTTCTTCTTTGCATGATTGATTGCCTTTGGGCAGATGAATACCTTTTTCATGCTTTTATTCTCTCTTTTGGCTCCCCAAAGCAGGATATCACGATCTGTTTTGGTTGTGATCTTTGTTTTGGGACTTGACATTTGGTCTCTTATTTTGCTGCTCGTGGCGCAACCCAGGTCTCAATTTCAGCGATTTTGATGAACTCTGATCTTCAAGTTTTGCTCAAATTGGTTAATGAAAACCCAATCGGCTTTGTATACAATATACTTGGTTTGGGTTCCCAAAATAAGAACTATATACAAATGAACTATCGAAAATGGACTTGCTCGAGTCAATCCAAGACAAGCGCAAACCTTAGTTATATTTTATTTTCCCGTCCCCTAATTGGGGCCTCACCTTCGCTCAGATGCTCATCAGACTCATCAACATGTCCCTGCGGTAGCCCTCTCTCCTTCAACTTCGCTTTTATCAGCTCCGCTTTCTCCTCACGCCCTTCCACGTCTTTGTTTGGGTCGCCCGGAACGGAGATCGAATGGTTCTTGTCCTCCGCAAGCAAAAGCGGTGTCTTTCCCCGATCATCCTGCAGCATCCTAGCACCCCTATCCAACAGCAATTTCACCATGCTGATATCCCCCCACAATACCGCTCGATGTAGCACAAGGCAGTCCTCCCATGCGATGCCAATTGACTTTGGCGCTGGACAGGTTACAATGTTCAAGACCTCCTCCAGCCCATTATCAAGCAAGTACTTCAGAATCTCTTCGTTACCCGTTACCCCCCCAGCATAGGGCAATATCTTCCGTCGATCGGTCCTGCTCATCGCCTGGAGTGAGTCCAACCCAGCTGGGAAGCAGGATGATAGTGCATATTCAATAAGCCTGATGCTCAGCGCGTTGTTGCTTCGGCTCTTTGGTGGGTGTCTTTTTGCGTGATCCCATTCTTGCCCCTCAGCAAGCTTTTGTAGCAAGGTCAGGCGTCCTTTTGCCGTATCTAGAAAGCCCACTTCTTTGAAGGCGTCGAGCAGATCCTTCTTTTCGGCCTCAGAGACATCGTTGGCAACGAGAAGCTCTAGACCATATGCAGCACTGCTGCGCCACCGGGTACGAATCAGCGCCGCTTCGACATCATAGGGAAACGGCCTCAGACTGGAATGGTACTCGACGCAAC